GACTCTATCTCCATCCACTAGGCCATTGATGTCGCTCCCTCTCTCCCCAAAAGGCCTGTTCTAGAACTCCAGTTCCCTAGAGATCAGCCACCACTCTGCACCTGGTTCTCAGATCTGCCCCCTTTCCCCTGACTTTGGTCTCCTCCCCACTCATTGTCTCACATTCACCTCAGGAGCTGGGGAGGAGGCATACATGGCTCTGGCCCTTTCAGCTCTGCTCCATTTCCCTAAGGACTTCTCTCTCCTCCAAGGCTGTGGGTTCCTGTGACCTCTGACAGAGGCCCCAGCCACAGAGAGTCGATATCCAGCCAGTAACTCCCACCCTCATCTCCAGTCAACACATCCATAGATGCAAAGAACATGATGTAAAGAATGAAACTGTCAATAAACTGATACCTGGAGGAGATTAAGTAGTAGTTGCACTGCCCAAGGGTGGTCAGGAGCTCTGCACAGCTCTTCATGCCTGGCACAAAGGCTGTTTGTAGCTCTTTGGTGGAGAATACAATAGGTGCAGAATACCTAATTCAGGAATGCTCTGGGGAAGTTGGGTTGATGAGAATTAAGTCTGTTAGGCATTCATTCATTCATTCATTCTCTTCCTCATTCATGCCTTCCTTCCTCACCCTATCCCCCAGGCCTGGGGCTTCTCAGATCCCATCTAGGATGGGTGGGCAGTGAGAAGACCTGCCACCACAGGGGATGTCTTACCTCTTGCCTTTCTCCTTCACTCAGGTGGCTGAGACTCAAGAAAGGCACTTGATCCCCCTGAGCCACTTTGTGGCAGAGCTTGTGCTAGAATAAAGTGTTTCTGGGTTCTTTTCTGCTGCCTCCACATCCAGAAGGCCCTCTCTATGGCTGGTCCAACCTCTTCGTGGGGCACAATGCCTGCCCCTTCCCAACCAATAAATCACCTACTTAGGCTGAAATGTAGGGACAGTCTGAGATGGTTAAAGCAATTGAGGAGGTGATTGTTCTGTATAAGTGACAACAGCTGGTTTCTTTTGCTTTGAGCAACGCCAGAGGGACATATGGACTAGAGGAACAGTTAAGCAAAAGAGAGAGACAGACCAGAGTGAGTGAAAAACTAAAGGGAAATAGAAACTAGAGGGACAATCTAGAAGAGGGATTCTTAAATTTTTTGTTTCATAGATCCCTTTGGAAGTCTGTTGAAACCTATGGACCTCTTTTCAGAATAATGTTTTTAAATGCATATTTTATGCATATGCATTTTATGCATATTCTATGTATTTTACATAGAATTGCAAAAGAAACCAATTATATTGAAAAATAGTTAACAAAATATTTTTTTTAAAAATAAGTTCATGGACTTTAAAAAATTTTTTAAATAAGTTTATATTAAGAACCTGAGACTCTAGAAAAAATACGTAGGTGATGATCTTAAGACAATAGTGGAAAGAGAGGAAGAGGAATATACTAGAGAGAGGAAAGAAAGGACACACAAGCAGATATCTGTACAAACAAGGAGAAGGAGGTGGGGGAGCAGCTAACACTTGAACTGGTCAAAGGAGGGAAGAATACACAAAGATGGGTATAGAAATACATTTCACTCAACAAGGAAACAAGAGGGAAAGGAAAGAAGGGAGAAGGGGCAATTAGAGGACAGGTTTGTTAAGGGATGGATTAGTCCTAAGCAAAATGAATTCAGTTACTAATGATGTACTAAAATATTTACAGCTCTTTTTTGAGGCTGAAAAAGAATAGGAATCTGAGGGTGTGCCCCTAAATTGAGGAACAGCTAAAAAAGTTGTGATAGAGAGACAGCTAGGTGTCACAGTGGATAGAGCACCAGCCCTGGAGTCAGGATGACCTGAGTTCAAATCTGGCCTCAGACACTTGACACTCACTAGCTGTGTGACCCTGGGCAAGTCACTTAATCCCATTGCCTAGCCAAAAAAAACCCAAAACCCAAAAAACCCAAAACAAACAATTACGGTGCAATACTATTAAGCTCTAAGAAATTATGAAGGTGATGGCTTCAGAGAAACTTGGACAGATGCAGAATGAAGTGAACAGAACCAAGAGAATGACATATAACAACAGCAATACTTTAAGGCCAAGTGACTTTGAAAAAATTAGGAATTCTGATTGGTGTAATAACCAATCACAATTCCAGAGGACTAATTAAGAAGCATTCTACCCACTTCCTGATAGAGAGGTAAGGGGCTTGGAGTGCAGAATAAGACATATTGTTATTATTACTGTTATTATTATTATTTTGTACAGTCGATGTAGAAATTTATTTTGCTTTACTATACTGTTTATAACAATGGTTTTGTTTTTCTTTCATTCTTAATTGGGATGAGAAGTCAGATTTTTGCTGATTGAAAAACATAATTAAAAAACTGATATGTTGAAAGAGGCAGACAGAAGTATCTACGGATGGATCAGAGAGACATACAGGTCAGAGAAACAGATGGGCCAGAGGGACAGATGGGCAGGTAGCTAGGCAAGGGATCTGGAGGGATGGATGAGGGAGGGGCAGGAAGCTAAAGAAAGCTGACTGAGAATAGGCAGAATGATGATGAGACCCTCAGGGAGAAATAGCAAGACATTGTAGAACTCTGTTTTAAACCAGCTCTTCAGCGGCCTCTGATATATCAGTGTGAGGAGGGGGATTGCAAGGGACAAGACATGGAGTCAGGTGAGTAAACTATAGTCCAGATGAAGGTAGGCAGTTCCCCAAGTTGATACAGTGATCTGTGACAGATCCAGAACTAGAATCCATATCCTGACTGTCACCTGGTATTCCCATTCCTTTTCTTTGCTCCTCTTCCTCCTGCCCTTTAGAAGGTATTAGACGGTCAGAATGGAAAGGGACCATAGAGATCATTGTTCCCAATCCCAGATGAAGAAAAGGGGGCCCAAGGAGAGGGATGGATAGGACCTTCCCAAGGTTACAGAGTGAGTCAGGGCAGAGCCTGGACAAAGAGCCAAGTCTGCTGGCTTCCAGTCCCATACTCTGCCTACTGCACTATACTAACTGAGTACCTACTGTGTGACCAGTCCTATGCTAGGCTCCACTGGGGGCACAAAGAATCTCTTGTCTATAATAGATTTATACTCTAACAGGTCCCATTACTTAAAGTCAGTTCTGGGATCTGCTGCCCCTCCAGACAACAAAACCTGTAGCCCTGACCAGTATGGGGTCCTAGAAAGCTTATGGATCCCACAAGTCCAAAGACAAGGACTGCATGAAGTTAGGTCTCTTCAGGCACCCAACTTGAGGACTTAATTGCCAAACAGATGCTTGAGTCTCAGCAGCTGCCCCACTGTGGACACTGTTGAAAACCTGCTTTAGGCTCAGAAGGTTGACGCTGTCCCTGGTCCTGCCCAGAGCAGGTCTGTAAAGGCGAGATGTGCTGTCCCCAAATTGCCTGGTCCACTTAGTCCAAGGCTCAAGAGAAGGAAGTTAAAGTCTCTAGCCATGGATCCATAAGGTAGGACCCAGAAGAGGGACCCTCTAGAAATGCCTCCTTTACTCAGGGAATCTAGCACCCTTTGGAAGGTGTAGTAGCCTCTCATCTCTCTCTCTCTCTCTCTCTCTCTCTCTCTCTCTCTCTCTCTCTCTCACACACACACACACACACACACACACACACACACACACACACACACAACGTGCAAATGGAGGTAAGCAAACATATACTCACGCCCACACTCTCACCAATCCCACCTCTCCCTTACCCTGTTTCCAGCCAGGGGCTGCCAATCCTGGCTGCTTGTGCTGCTCTCATTCCTTCCCATCTGCTCTGGAGCCTCCCCCTCTCCTAACCCCACTTCCCCAGGGAGCAGGGGGTGGGGCACCAGAGTCTGTGATCCTGTTTCTCCATTTTATTGATCCAACTTGGAGCCTGAGCTACTAACCACCTCCTTTATCTCAGCTTCCACTGTCCTTCCATCTCACCTCACCAGCCTCATGCACATTCCTCCTTTTCTCATTTCTTGGAGTTTAGCCTTAAGTCCCTAACCCAGGGACCTAGGCAGAGCCCCAAAGACTGTTTAGAATTAATTAGAAGCAGCCTTGGAACATAGTACACAGAATGTCAATGCTGGGAAAGTCCTTACAACATAGAATGTCAGAGCTGTTCAAGGGCCCTTAGGACATAATATGTCAGAGCTAGAAGAACCTTTAAAACACAGAATGTCAGAGCTGGGAGGGTCTTCAGGACATAGGATGTCAGGGTTGGGAGGACACTTAGAACAGTGAATGTCAGAGCTGGGAGACCCCTTAGAACATGCAATGTCAGAATTGGGAGAACCCTTAGAACATTGAACGTCAGAGCAGGGAAAGACCTCATCCCTCGTTTTACAAATGGGGAAAGTGAGGTCCTGAGTTGAGAAAGGACTTTTCTAACCTCCCAGAGGGAGGTGTCAATACAGAAGGGGAAGACTCCCCTGTTCTCTGACTCTCTGTGGGAGTTGAAAGGTTCCTTAAATCTATGCTTGTGGGTGGGGAGAAGGCTGTGCTTGCTTCTCTGCCTCCTCCATCAACCTTTCCAGCTCTTGGGTGTTCTACATAGATGTTCTCCATGCTGGGAGGGGCCAAGACTAGGATGTTGATAGGGGGAAAATATTCCCTGAACGGAGGGAGAGAAGGGTGGGAAGGTTGTGAGTTCTGGGGTGCAGACTAGCAGAGCCTTTTGGAAGCACACCTCGCTCCTGACTTACTGGGGGTCGAGGACCGGCTGTAACCAAGAGAAGTCTCCGTTTCCATCACCAGCGGAGCTCGGTGCCAGAACTAGTCGGAAGGGGATCTGGGTCTATTGGCTGTAGGAGCTGGGAATTGTTCAGTCCCAGCGGTGCAGGGGGTGGGGCACCCTGTTCCAGAGCCGGCCGGGAGGATGGGGGCAGGGAAACGGGGGCTGCGGTACCCCCGAACTCCGTCCCCTTCCCCCTCCCGCGGCTGCGCGCTGAGGCTGCCGCGCTGCTCAGCATGACATCATCGTGCTCTGGGGGCCTTCCGGGAGGGGGGCGAGCAGGGTAGGAGCGGCCGGCAGGCTGGGGAGGTGAGTGGGGGGAGAGGAGGGAGCCGAGGGGAGCGGAGCCCTGGAGGCGCATTAGGGCGCAGGCGGCCCGGCCATGAGCAGCCGGGCAGGCCCGGGCCCCGGCCCCGGCGCCCCGTCTTCTCCCCCGCCCGCCTCCCCGGCCACCCCGAGGCCCGGGTCCGAGGCCGGGACGGACGAACCCGATGCTCCCACCACTTTCTGTAAGCTCCTGCCCAGGATGTCCCCGTGGAAGTTCGCGGGCCCCGCCGCCTTTCTCAGCCGCAGCCCGTCCAGCGCGGGCAAGGAGCTGGCCCCGGCGCCGGCCACCAAGGGCGGCGGCCTGGAGGAGGTGGCAGCTCCAGGATCCGGGGCTGGGCCCGGCCTGGCAGCGGTGCTGGGCGCCTGTGAACCCGTGTGCGCCAGCCCCTGCTCCTTGCAGCTGGTGAGCCGCTGCCGAGGCGCGGCCGGGGGCCCGCCAGGCCGGGGCCGGGATCGGGGCTCGGGGGGCCGGGCCCGGGGCGCGACCAACGCCGGCCGGCGATGAGTGGAGTCGCAAAGGCAGTTTTATCCACAAGCCCCCGCAGGGCTGGCTGCACCCGGACGAGAGGGTTCTAGGGCCTGGGGTCTCCTACATCGTGCGGGTGAGTGCAGCCGCCCCCGCCCTCCTCCTCCCCTCTCCTAGGACACCCCAGCCTTGCAACTGGCTCCCCCCACCCTAAGCGTGTACCCCTAGAGTCATGAAAAGTCTGCGAATTGTCAGAACTGAATGAGACCTTAGACAGCATCTAGTCCAACTCCCGTTTAAAAAATAAATAAATTAAAAAATTAAGAAACTGAGGCCCACACGTTGGGGGCCGAGTTATTTACTACAAGCCTGCCAGCCCAGGGTCCCCAGAAGGCTCTCCCTCTTGCCCTTCTCCCTTCCTCTCCCCTCCACTCGTCTCCTCTCCCACGGTCTGACCCTCATAGTGAAACCTCACTCACCCCCAAGTTCCCACGGTGTCACGTGGGAAGACAGCACACACGGTAGTGTGTGGGTTAGATGCTCTTTTGACTTCCCTTCCCTGCAGGTATTCTCTCCTCCTGATCCCAGTTAGTTCTGGAAAGAGGGAAAGTCGGAAGGGTGTGTCTGCAAACCAATGTGGAAGGAGCATTTCAGATCCCCCCTCCCCCTGCAGAAATACCCCCATCAGGTCAGAATGACTGTGAAGGTGAGAGATGGGGCCAGCATAAAAAAGACAGAAGAATCTTAGAATTTATGTATCATGGAATGTTAGAAGCTTCCATCATCCCTTTCCCCCAGATCGACCTCTCCTTTTCTCTGGCAAGCTTCATGTGTGATTTGGGATTCTCCCAGAATGCCTTCTTTAACCACCACCCTTTAACTTTAGTTCAACAAATATTTATGTATCTGCTATATGCTAGTTACTGGGTAGATGAAAACAAAATATGAATTAGTCTCCTCTCTGAAGAAGCTCTCAAGAAGTTAGAGTCCTGCAAAAGGTTGAGGGCTGGATAACTCTCTCCCTGGTGACTTCTGAAAGGCCTGATTTCTGGGGTCCTAGCTCATCACTGAAAGGCAATACCTGGAAATGGGAACCCTTGGTTCTTTGCTTGGTCATAGTGATGGTGACTGGTGGGAATCTAGATTCTTAAGCTCTCTCTATGGCTTGGTTACTCAACCTTTGCAAACAAGACAGGTTGTAACCCCATCTCTTCAGTACTTTGTGGTCTGATTTCCTCTTTCCCAAAACACCTGGTTAAGACTCTCTTATTTTATCAGATGGGGAAGCTGGGTCCTGGAGAATAGAAGTGACTTGCTGGGTGTCAGAGATGGGGCTAGTACTCCAAATCCAGATCTCCTCATTCCCAGCCCAGGGCTTTCCCCTGAACTAAAATTTTCTGATCCTAGGAGATTAGGAAACTCTTTCGTTTGCTGTTGGGGCTGGGAGAAGGTGTGTGGATAGTGGAGAAGGGAAAGAGTGGCAAGGAAGGGGACCCTGGGAGGATCTTTCCCCTTATCCAACCCCAGTCTGTCAGGATGGCAGGCCAGCTAGTCCAAGGGGTGATCAGGTTTTTAATCACATCTTCCAGGCTCCTCATTTCATCCTTAATTAATTTAGAGCAGTGCCCCTGGGCACTGCTCCCTTCCCAGATGAATTAGAGGATGTGTGGGATCCTGGGCCAGAGTCTAACTGGATTGAAAGAGAAAGGCAGAGTGCCTTTAACCCTTTCTGGCCCTGGGGATTTCTCCAAAGAATCTTGAGAGAGTCCGCAATCCCCCATGTTTCTGGGGAAGGGTTCAGAGTCCTAGATGCAAGGAATGTTGCCACTGGGAAGGCCCTTATAACATAGAGTATCAGAGCTGGGGGGTTCCTTTTGTTGTTGTTCAGTCATTTCAATCATGCCAATTCTTCATGACCCTATTGGGGGTTTGCCTGGCAAAGATACTGGAATGGTTTGCCATTGCCTTCTCCAGTTCATTTTATAGATAAGGAAATTGAGGCAAACAGGGCTAAGTGACTTGCCCAGGGTCACACAGTAAGCATCTGAGGCCACATTTGAACTCAAGAAGAGTCTTCCCGACTCCAGGCCTGGCATTCTATCTGTACTACCTAGCTGCTGGGTCAGGGGTGGTGGGATGGGGAGAGGAATGTCCTTAGAACATAGTATATCAGCGTGTGGAAGGAACCTTAGAACACAGAATGTCAGAGATGACAGGCAATGCAGACGATGGAATTTCAGAGCTAGAAAGGGACTCAGAAATCATCTCATAAATCAAATCATCAGTCAATCAACAAATATTCATTCAATGCTACCGTGCACCAAGACCTATGCTGAGGGCTGGGATACAAAGACAAAGTTAAACAGTCTTTGTCCTTAAGAAGCTCACATTCTGATGGAGGAAATGCCATGTACTGGTAAGGGCAATTGCAAATCAAATGCAAGGCAGTTTTGGTTCTTTTTTTTTTTAATTAGGCAGTTGGGGTTAAGTGACTTGCCCAGGGTCACACAGCTAGTAGTAAGTGTCAAGTGTTTGGTCTGAGGCCGGATTTGAACTGAGGTAACTCCTGACTTCAGGGCCGGTGCTCTAGCCACTGGCGCCACCCAGCTGCCCCCGCAAGGCAGTTTTGGAGGAGGAGTCAGTAGCACCTCGAGATGGAGGCTAGGGAATAGCCTCCCCTGGAAGGCGTTACTTGAGCTTAGTTGAGTAAGAGACCAAAAGGCAGTGGTGTGGCCGGAGAGCATTCCAGGCATGGGGCACAGGCAGGGAGGTGGGAGATGGGGCATAGTGGGGAAACTGAGGCCCTGTAAGGGAAAGGGACTTGCTCAAAGTCACACAGCCAGTCAAGGATAGAGTCAGGATTAGAAGCTAGGTCTTCCTCAGACTCTAGTGCTCTGTCTTCCCCACAGCGGGGGATTTTGTTGGGTGAAGTCAACTAAACATTAATTAGGTATGTACTAGGTATGAGGCTTTGTGCTAAGTAAGGTCTGGGGACACAGAGATAAACCATTACACCATCTGCAGTGTCAGCCACAAAGGAGCTCACAGTCCAGGGGTGGAGTAAGGCATGCTTACACGTAACAGTGATACAGATTAGAAAAAGAACTGCATAGTCAGTCAGTCGGTGCTAAGCATTGGAGTTACAAAGAAATGCGAAAGTATTCCCCCTGCCCTCAAGGAGGCAGAGGGAGAAAATGTATAAATAACCGGAAACATAGAAAATATAGACAGAGTTGAAAGAAGATAAGATGGGAGGGAAGGCACTAGCAGCTAAGGGGACATGGAAAGGACCTGCAGAAGGAGGGATAGCTCAATCTCAAAAGAAGCCAGGGAACATAAGAGGATGAGGTGAGGAAAGAGACCACTCCAGGCATAGGGCACAGCCAGTGCAAAGGCAGAGAGGTGGGAGATGGAATGTTGCGTGTAAATGAGAGAAAGAAGGCCAGGGTAGTAGGATCATAGAGTACTCAGAAGGGAGTGAAGTATAAGAAGACTGGGAGGTAGGGAAGGGACAAATTATGATAAACTTTAAAAGTCAAGAAGAG